GGACATATTTACCACCCAAGACTAGTAGTTGATTTACAAAAAAAAGTGGCTTCATCAAATGGGATGTTAGTTACAAATTTTTCTCGCACCCGTGAATTGTTTCGTGTAACCGAAATGCCACGTCCGCTGTAAGGGATTGGAGCTAACTCTTTCAGAGTTAATCTACAAGAGAGGTAGTGCAATTGTGGTTTCTTTCAAGCACTCAAATATCCATGCTCTCATGTCATTGTTGCTTGCTCACATTCGTATTTGGACTACAAAAATTATGTTGATCCCGTATACCAACTTTCACAAGTATTCAAGGTATATGAATTTGAGTTTTCGCCCATAGGAAACGAAAGAGACCCAAATGAGATTCAAACTTGACTTACAATTGTACCAGATCCATTGCTATTGAGGGACTCAGGTCGTCCAAAATCTACTAGAATACATTGTGATATAGATATTCGGGAGAAGTCAACAGAACAAAAACGATGTGGGCATTGTAGAAACATCGGGCACAATAGAAAAAAATGTTCAGCTCTGTTATCATCATATAACCGTTAACTCTTATGTAATTAATATTGTATTTAATGAATGTTTTTGTTTCTAATAATTTAATGTTATTGAATTTATATAATTTGTCAATGTATGTACACCTAAATAATTTTTTTTTAACTTTTAAATACATAAATATTTTTAATATATTTATTTAATATAATAATTAATATTATTATTTATAAATTTTTTTAAAATATAATAATAATTCCACCTTCTAAGTAGAGAAAAATATTAAATTAAACAAATTAAAAGTTATTAAAAAATTTATGTATACGATGACACATTTCATGTTCTGATTGGAGGAATAAATTTATTAAATTAAATTTTCAATAAGACTAATTTCATAAAATATGTAAGTCTTGAAGATTAAATATGTAATTATACTAATTTATTAACTTATGCATCAATATTTTCGTTAAATATTGATAAGAGATGACTAGATTGATAACATTTAAATAATTAACTGATAAAATTAATAGATCGATAATCAAAATCAAAAATAATAATATAACCATATGTGTAATATTATAATTTCATACATTTTTCCTATAACTACAATAAAGTCAAAACTGGTTTTCATATATTGTTCTATCATATTAATGTAGATAATTCACTCTACCTTTAACACACATTAACAAAATACATTTGATAATTCTTACATTATAATCGAAACACTTTACATAATATATTATTAATTTATAATAAAAATAAAAATAAAATATTTATTATTAAACAAAATACGTGGCAGTCGAGCTGGTGAAAGGCGCGTCCCTGGGGATGCGCCTTCCACACGTGGCATCTAACTCAGCGAAAACACGGGTAAAGCGCGTCCCCGGGGATGCGCCTTTCGTCAGCTCAGCCGAAAGGGTGCCACTTCGGGAAATATATATTAAACGGTGCCAAAAAGGTAAATATTCGTTAAAGGCGTGTCAGTTTGGTCAAATAGCCGAAACTGATTGTCTTGACGTCGAGTTCTACTATCAAATGTTGGATTCTCAAATTTTTTACTGTAAGTAGACCTCGAAGAACTCCCCAGAGTTATGCTAATATGCTTTTTGTGTTCTCGACTTTCATCATAAAACTAAGTATTCATCGACTATACTCATCTCATATCAATCCTTCTGCGTACGGTAGGTCCGTTCTTAACCTATTGACAATGCATGTACACTCCGCAGATACAATTCGAATTTAAGACCTTTAGAGATAACAACATTCTTTTTTACTACTTAAGTTATTTAACGAGTTCCCATTTTTCTAAAATGAGTGGTTGAGAAGGATTTAATAACTTTAGTTATTTTTTTTTTGAATTAATCATTGATATCGGATCAATTGACCGACTAATTCATATCAAATTTATAAAATATTCATTATGCGAGCGACACATCCAATCCAATATGGGCCATTCGCAAATAATAAAGCTACAATCTCTTAAAATCTTAATAATTTATTCAATCAACTATTAATTAATTATATTTTATACTACATAATAAAAAAATTGTGGCAAATTTAAAAATACTTGATTGGTTAACTAAGTCATCTTCACAAGTTCCTTGCAAGCTATTAGATCCATGTGTGCATGAATGATTCAAAAAAAAATACGGTTTAAAAACCTCTCGTTTTGAAAAATTTTGGATTTCCTTACGATCGAAAAAATATGGTTCAAAGAGTCGCCACCAATCTTTGATTAGGGTGTGATTGGGCACCAAAAAATGTTTGTTATTTTAAATAAAAATTAATTTTAATTAAAACAACAAATTAAGGTCTGCGTTACCAAAATCCGAGTTCGGGAGTCGGTTACATGCAGGGAATGATTAGAACCCCCACAACGCCCTAAAACGGTACCTAGTCGATTAATTTGTGTCTTTGTAATGAACTTTACAAATTCAAATTTAATTTAATTTTTGATCCCGTAAAACAAAGAAGAAGAAGAAAACATTCAAAAACACTCAAATAAATTAAATTAAAATTACCAAGTCGTTTTAGAAAGATAAAGAATGTTAGATTATTTACAAATATCGAGACCAGATCTTAAAAGCTATAACAACCTTTTCTCGATAAATTTAAATAAACAAACATTTCCTTTTCTTTCGTTCCCAAATTTTAGGTGATGAATCAATTTTTGGTTTCACTTCTGGGATACACTTTTAATTTAAAATGGTCATAACGGCCCTCTAATTAGTTAATACAGGCCACTCAAGACAATTTTAAATTAAAAGGGTATTACCCTTAGTTCGATTATGTAATAGGTCGAGTTATGCACATGAGGCTATCATGCAAATTATGCAAAAAGTGGATATCATGCCAAAATTAATTAAACTAAATTAAAAAATATCATACAACGTGACATACAAAAAAATTACATACATTTAAAATTAAAAATATAAACAATGCATATTAACATATAACGTACAAATATGACTCAAATATAAAACAAAAATTTAACATATTAAACTATAAATTTAAAAAAAATGTATATTTACATGTTAAAATAATGACTAAATTTAAATATATGTAAAATTAAACATACAAATCGAAAATTAAACCAGGGACTTAAATAAAAACACGCATAAATATAAGGGATTTAAACATGAATAATCTAATGAAATTACAATTAAAATTAAAACCGGAAAAATAACGAAATCAGGACAAACACAAAAGGTTAAATTCGAAAGCAATCCTAAAAGTGACTAAAGTGTAAATATGAGGCTAAAGTACAAGGGCACCAGAGCAAATTATCCTAACATTTAGGTGCTGGAAATTAATTAACCAAAAATATTAATAAATAAAACCTAAACTAAGTAAAAAAATCTAACTTAATTACACCTACCCAACATCACGTTTCACTTTTCAGTTTCCCTAGCTCACGTCTCACTCTTTCATTTTTCTTTTTCAACACTCTCCCTCTCATTATCACGCAAGCTACAGACCAAGAAAAGAAGCCGACTGTCGCTCTTCCCCTTCAATCACCATCGCTGCCACTCCCTCCTTTGAACACCGTCGCTCGGCCACTATAAACGCCGATTGGCCACCGCGATGGCCAAAGAGACCAAACAACCCCTTAATCAACATAAAACACTTTGTTCTACTCTCCTAACATTTCTCTTCTCTGTTTTAACCCAAAAATAAGACTAAGGCCAACATGCAAAACCCCCTACCCCCTAAAGAGGATCGACTGTTCAATTTCCTAGCCCCGACGGCAAGTCCTTGTCAACGAGATCACTAACAAAAGGTAAACTACTATCATCTTTTCCTATATTTTGGTTCGAATCAAAGAGATGGTTGCAAAGAAAAAACGTAAAAGGGAGACAAAAACTACCACCCAAAAGAGATTCTTTTTCTGTTGTAATCCTTTTGTTTTGAAAATGATGAGAATTTTACATGGGTTGTTTCTTTTTCTATTTTGTTATGGTTTCGAGATAAAGAAAATATGGTTGTTTGAAATGCAGAAGAAAGAAAACATTTCGAGAAGTTTTTGTTGTGTATCTCTTTGCTACGAATTTTCTAGGGGGAACAAATGATAGAGGAGAAGCCTTCCTTGCTTTCTACTTTTTCTTTCTCAATTTCCCTAGCGCCCTTACAACGCTCTCAACCAACACTGCTGCATGATGAAACTACTACCAACCGAGCTTTTCCTAAAACAAATTTCAATCTAGACCCAAAGCATAATAGGTATATCGAGACTAACTTAATATTTCTACTTGCTTCGAATAAAAAAACGACAAATATGCGTGCTCGGTATTTATAAAGTATAAAGAAGATAACCTGCTTGTATTGATTCTACTGCTTTTCAGAAGAGTAAGTCGAATCCTTTGTTACACCAATTGATCTTTGAATGTGGCAAAGAAATATCTTACACACACTGTTTTTGCTCCTGCTCTATTGTGTAAAAAAATAAAAATGAAAAATGGTCCCTCGTCCCTCTCGTAATGGTAATGAATTATTGATCTCCCCAGTTCTTTTTTTCGTTCCTTTCTGTATATTCTGTGATAGTTGATCTCTAATCCTCCCCCTTTTCTCCTCTTTTTTCTTTATTGATAATTGTTTTTAATTAAAACTGACTCTTACAGTTTCCTGAGTGCTCAATATCACTCCCACAATCAAACACTACTTTCCCCTCATTTTCGCTTGCTAACTGTTCTTGTTTTCCAAGACTTCACGTGGGCTGAAGTCTCCAATCAACACTGCTGTTTTGGGCTGATTTGGGCTCCTACTGGTCCAAATTTGTATCGTTTACTGTATATGAAGCCTCCGATAAAGTCCCCGGACGAAATCGAGCATCTACATAACTAATTTATACATTTTCTTTTTAAAATGAATGTGCCAATTATTTTGTATTTAAAAATACTTGAAAAATGAACGTCTTTATCAACATTTAAATGAGCCACTACAAATAAATAAACTCCGTCCCTGCAAATTTAATTATATTATTGCCACTAAATTCATTTAACTTTTTATTGAATCTAACCATCAAGTTCATAATGAAAATGAAACAACGGTATCGTCAATGAATTTAAGTCGCCAAAAATAATATCATCATCCCTGGTATAGCTGCTACAATCTTGATAATCAAAGTATGTTTGAATGTCGTTTGGAAAACTCCGACGAGGTACATTAGGTTTCGGTGGCGTTGATGGACACGCTGCTGCCGAGGTCCTCTCCAACATTTCCTTAAATTTCGAAGATTGCAACAAATGGCCTAGTGCAGATGATTCTGATCTACTACTGCCATTGTTACCAATCGATCGCCAATCACTTTTACAGCAAGTTTGAGATTTGATGAGAAATCCTAATCTAGAATTTGCATCGCGGTTAAGATCTTGTTGAGGATTTTCAGAATCATTCGATTGATTTCGATGAATTGAACGTATACAATCAACGTAACGACTTAGGTCAAAGTTTGTAACAGCATGGAGTCCTCTGTATTCGATGGCGGCCATGTCATATGCCGTCGCTGCTGCTTCTTGTGTGGCTGAAGAAAAAGGTAATTATTTACCAGCAAGAATTGATTAATGAAACTAGACCAACCAACTAGAAATCATATAAATGAGTTAATGTATATAATAAAGGAGAAGTAAATATGCTTGCATAATTGGGTGGAGAGTTGGAGATTTAATACAATTGACTTTTCCAAATATTAAATAGGCGAGTAGGCAAGGGTGTTGAAGTTTGGTAAACCATATCTCAACCACCTGGATTTTATTATATTTCATTCTCATCATTTTGCTTTTTGCGTATGTATATATAATTTAGAAGCAATTTAAGCAAATAAAATTACCATATGTTCCAAGGTAGAGATATTTGTTGCCAAGTACTCTGCCAATTCGAGCTTCCCATCTTCCATTGTGGTGGTGCCTACAAAATATATTGAAAGGCCATAAACCCCACAAATTTAAACTCACATAAAATGCAAAAGAAATCTCACCTGGCTACGCCTCTGTATTTCGAGACTCCCCAAGCAAACCCGCTGCTTTTCCTTTCAATATTAAACAAAAAATATATAAATAAAACAGGGGGGGAATCAGATATTTGGTTAAATATATATGTTTCTAAACGATCAAATTTTTGTTTAATGGTATTTTTTTATACTTTTTTTCAGTATTACCTGCGCAAAGATCCAATATATTCTTCCTTGGATTGACACTCCATTTCCTTGAGCTCGTTTTCATAAGTTGATAACTGCAAACATTTGAAGTTTTCTTTCTGTAAACAAAAACGGATAAAATGATGGGAGAAAAAATTCCAAGTGAAATTAACATACTGGGAAATTGAGGATAGTATCATGTCCCCAGTACTTTGATGCAGCCAAGTCATATGCATGTGCTGCGGCTTCTTCATTGGCATAAGCACCTAACCAAAATAGCAGTACATCCAAAATAATGAAGTCAATTAAGTTCTGATGAAAATGAAACTGAATTACATATGGCAAGAATATAGTTCTTGACTATGACAGGCATATTTAAAGAATTTCGGGGAGAGAGAAAGAAGATCATCGGACTCACCTAAATATACTGCATCGTCATCAAGTAAAGCAAAACCAACCATGAAATTCAATAGAATTAAATTTGAATAATTAGTTTGATTGTTAAAAAAAATTACTTCCAAAGGAAGGGGAAAATAGGTGAGAAAGAAGGATTTTTGTTATTATTATTACCTTGTCTTCCTTTTTTGTTCTGCGATTCATTCCAGCAATCCTTGTCCCACAAATGAGCTTCGAATCGTCCTGTCCATCGGTGCCTGATTAATTAAACCGATCAATTAAGGCATCGACAAGTCAAAACAGAACGGCAACAAAAAATTAGAACAAAATCGCCAAGAAAGATCGCCGATCCCCAGAACGGAGAATAATACTGTATTGATTATAAGTATATATACACAATATGTATATATGTTTGAACGGTTAATTACCTTGTAACACCTCGATAGGTAGAGCTGCGTTGGGGAGGAGAGTGACGGGGAGCAGTTTTACGAGTCCGTTTCAGTTTTATGGGTGCAACACTATTTTCATTATCAGCACCGTTCTTCTGGTTTTGATGCGAGTTTTTCGCCATAAAAAAACAAAAATAAAAGGCTGAGCTCAAGAGTGATTGTCAAACTGCGAAAACGTTAACAATGGCAGGGGCGAAAGAATGAGAAACGAACTCAAAGGATTGAAGAAAATAGGGGGTTTAAGGTTTTTGTTTGAGGGAAAGTAGAAGGGGCAGAGAGAGTCTTCAAGGAATTGTAGGGTTTCGTCTTCGTCAAGCGGCTTTTCCTCTACTGTTTTTTGCTTTGGTTTTGGTTTTTAAAATAATCTTCTCTCCGAGTTAACTACTTAGCTTGCTTTCACTATTTGATTTTGGTTGGTTATATAAAAGATTCACTATTTTTTTATTCGTTTTTAAATTATTTATAAAATACTGTATAATTAAATCAAAATGTATCAAATATTTAAATATATTTATATTTATAACTTTCAAAGTTGTTTAATATTAACGTACTAATCGAACCCTAGAAACTACTAATACGGGTGTGTTTGGTTCACGGAATGTAAGATTACCAGTGGGAATAAAAGATTACCAGAGAATAGGATTACTGGGAATGTTACATTACTGTGTTTGGTTGGTTTGGCAGGAATTTAAGATTACAGTGTTTGGTTGAAGGAATAAAAGATTACTGGAATGTATATTTTACCAAATTGTTCTTATTTTATATTTTTTAACAAGTGAAATTCTAAATATTTAAATAAAAATTATTTATATAAAAATTCTATTTGTTGATAACATATTACTTGTGTATTTAAATATATCATGTATTATTTTAATTTTAATTAATATTAAATTTTACATAATTTATGTAAAAATATATTAAAATTTTACATAACATTTAACTAAATGTTTACATTGTGAAAATTCTTCATAGATATTAATAATAATAAAAAGATGTAAATTATTTTTGGTTAAAGGAATAAAAGATTACTAGAATGTATATTTTACCAAATTGTCCTTATTCTATATTTTTTAACAAGTGAAATTCTAAATATTTAAATAAAAATTATTTATATAAAAATTCTATTTGTTGATAATATATTACTTGTGTATTTAAATATATCATGTATTATTTTAATTTTAATTAATATTAAATTTTACATAATTTATGTAAATTATTATATCTTCTATATACAATAATTTATTTATTTATTTATCTTTTATATTTATACTTAATTCTGCATATTTTATCATTATTATTTATCTAATAAATTTATATTACAAAAACATAATTCAAATAAGTAATAAATTAAATTTATTCAAACTCAATTAACATAAAAATTAGTTTCCCAGAAAGTAACGACCATAACTAAATAACCAAACAATTTATTGTTACTTGACACAGACTTGCTTCATGCTCTTTTGGCGAAATCACTTCTATTCTCATCGTCGTCGTCCCGGAAGTTCTCATTCATTGGCTCGTTTGAGTCGAATGCTTCTCCTCCCTCCTTGAAGCCATCTTCATCACTACCGAATTGATAACTACCATCAAATCCCGTATTTCGGCTTCCATATCCAGTATGACAGCAGCATTGAAATTCCCACCATCGAAATTGGTTGCAGCAGATTGATCAAAACCACCATAATTTCCTTTGCCTCCATAGTTACCACCACCGTATCCAGCATTACCTCCATAACTTCCAGATGAGGGACTGGCATTTCTATTGTAGCCACCACCACCACCGTAGCCACCGCCACCTCCAAAGTTACGAGGAGGTCTCTCAGCTGCATAGTTCACTCTTACTTGACGGCCATGGAGAGCCTACAACAAGAAAGACAACCAAAAAATCCCACAAATAACTACCACAAATATAAGAACCAATGCTGCTATGTTAAGCATCTGAAAAATCAAACAGGGTAGACAAAGATAGAACTACTGTTTTCACCCTTATCTATACCAGACAGATTAACCAAGAATATTATGATGATAAAACATCTCGCATGCTAAATCAATTATTTATACATACATGCGCAAATTAAGGCCTACATAACATATTTTTTTTCAAGTAATGAAAATTATTTATAAGTTGAGGCGATTGAGAAAACTAATGTGGAACTTGTACTTCATAGTAAGAATTACTAGCAGACATGAAAGTGAACCCCATATGTTGCCAAGGAAAAACGAGTTATAACATGAAGATTGAGGCCCTAACAGAGAAGATACTGTGTTTCAAGATGCTGATAGTGAACTTGAGTAGCATAAATTAATTTCCGATGCAATAATTCCAAATCTACATAGTTCACCACAGTTGGAATCTTAAATACCAAGCATTTGACATAGGCCTAGATGCAATTTGCAACCAACACAATGCAAAAGCTTTTACAATAGTTGCAGATCAACATACGAAGAAAAGGCCCAATAGGATTACAAAACAGATATTGCATGCATCATATTCTAATTTTTATCTCTTTGTACAAAGGTTTAAGCATATATGCTCGTTATAAAATACATTATTAGCATTCTATGAGGTTTACTTAAACAGAAGAAACCAACGGATATTCCAAGACTACCAATATGAAAGGAATAAACAAATTCTTCAAACAATAGATACTTAGATGTCTTATATTACCTGTCCATCCAAGGCATGTTTTGCGCTGGAAGCATCCTCAGTACTGGTGTACGTGACGAAGCCAAATCCTCTAGACCTGCCCGTTTCTCGGTTCACAATTACTCTTGCTACAATAAATATCAAATTAATCAGTTATTTTACACATATAAAAGCAGTGGACATTAAACAAACTTGATTGCAAACTCAAAGTGAGTACACCATATGCACAAGCCCACACAAACTTTAAGTTAAAAACTTTCATTCGTTATGAAAACATATCAAAGGTGGCATCTAAATCTTCACGGGACATGCCATTATACTCAAAAACATGAACCAACACGACACACTCGACATGTAGAGGAAAACATTTAAGCATCTCGAGGAACTTTTAAATCCCTTCCATAGTGTTAACTGGCAATTACAAATTGAAATTAGCAAATACATTCATCAGAGCATACCTTCAACAACTTCACCATATTGGCTGAAAGCCTCTCTCAGACCTTGGTCATCCGTTTGATATGAAACACTTGCAATAAAAAAATCAATAAGAAACCTTAAAAAAATAGGTAACAGAAAACAGTTTGCTCCAAAAGTATAAACAAAAGCTGGACGCGCACCTCCGACAAAAACTTTCAACTTTCAAGCTCGGTGAGTTTGACATGCACCGAAACACTTGAAAAAGGCTGGGCCTTGAAGCAAAAAACTGAGAATTGATCTGTGTGGTCGAGGCTTACCTAAGCATATTCCCAATTTTACTTAAGAAAGTCATTGTTACAACCTACAAAAAAATGAACTTCACTTTCAGCAGATTATTATATGATAACACGAAACACTAAAACAGAAATCCAATACAATGAAAAGTTAGGGAATAGATTAAAACGATACAACAATGAGGAGAAACCCTTTCAAATAAAAAAGATGATAAGCCAAATCAACAGATCATCATGAAAAACGAGAAACTAGAGATATCCGAAAACAAAGCTTAGGGCTTTTTCGAAGCATAACCTTCTGGTTATGGAGCTGAACTACCGGGAGAAATGTATCTCTGAACCCTAACCCGAAATCATTTTTATGAAAAAATGGGTTCGACCAAACAATACTAGATTAAAATAAACCCTTACCCGAAACTATTTTTTTTGAAAAAATTAAACAAGTAAAACATTGTAAAGAAAGGGAGAGGAGAAGAAAGGAGAACGGTGAATTTTTCGTAGAGGGAGGCAAACTCTCAACGGGAGAAGAATATATCACAGAGGTAAACGAAAAAAAGAAGGGTATTTTAACTCTAAGTACATGAATGTGTGAGAATAACATTTTCAGGAATAAACACATTCGGGAAAGAAATATTATCTCACTCGAGAATGAATATCCAATCAAACATGGATATCCTTAGTCTGGAAAAAATTATACCTGTCATGAATTCTAAAATCATTGATCCAAACAGGCCCTAGAAGTAATTGACATTTACTGACTTACATGTTTATCCTTTTTCTCAAATTCGTTCGAGTTACATTTGGGATTGAAGTGCTTCTTCTCAAGTTCCCTAATACATTCTGTAGTTAAGAACAATATTTCTTTTTTCAAAAATTATAGGTTTAAGCAATTTCATATATAAAATATTATTTAAATAAAATTTTGAATAAATATTACTTTATAATCATTTCATACTAATAAAAAAATTCTCAATACGTTGACACATATATAATCACAGTAACAATTGCTTTGTAGTCATTTAATTAAGGTTTAATGAAAAAAATTGTGTAAACTATATAGAAAATCTCTGTTCAAAGATTCATTCATCAAAATTAGGTGTGAGACGTGGGTCGGTCTGGATTAGTTAAAGCAAAGTCTTAGAACCGAGAGGATAACCGAAAAATATATATATATATATATTCGCTTAGTGTAAATATAGATTTTTTCTCTATTACTCTTTTCAGTATCTATGCCAAAATAACTGTTAAAAATAGTTATCAGTTACTCAAAACGTGACAATTATTGTATTTATATAACTTTCAAATATGTTATTTAAAAAACTTAAAATTATAATTTCTTTTAAAAAATCTCATTTTTTCTTAAATCTAAAAACAATCGAAAACTCTAAATCCATAATTTGGAACCCCTTAATCATCGTCGGTCAACATCGTTATTACCATAATTGTCGTCTTTTGCCCGTCAGTCATTTTATTAAACCAAATTACATCGCACTCTCAACGCATGACAGGAGAAATTATCAATTGCACCCTAGGCACCCGGCGAATGAAATCGCATAAGCAACAATGTTGGTCGCATAAATAAGGGGTTTTTATTGTTGGGTGTTCGACTGGTCACGCGATGTTGGGACTTTAATCGATTAACAGTGTTGGTGACGAGTGACGATGGTAAGAGGATTGAAATTAGGGCTTATAAGGATTATGATGTTTTTTTTTAAATAAAAATTCAAAAAAAAGTTATAAATATAACACGGGTTAAATAACACGTTTTTTTAACAGTTGCTATCGTGTAGACACTTAAAATAGCAACGTGGAAAATATTAAGTACTTTAAAAAAATATTTTAAGCACCTAAATGAATAAAGAATATAGTTTATACTTTTAGACACTTGTTTTTTTCATTAAGCCTTTAATAAATATTTTTAGTGGGTTTAAAATTAATTTTTAAGATCACTTTGATACTTATAAGAAATCTTTAAAAA